CAGCTCACACTGAAGACAACAGCAAGGAGGTTGTATCTAGATTTGTCATGCTGACATGGATTACAATTAATCACTTTTTTTCAGCAATTCATGGAAAAAACCCCACTGCATTTCTTTAAGGATTTCAGCCTCAAATGCCTGTCACTACTGCTGGGCTGAAAACACATACACAAATCCAGCTGGTACTGTGCTGGTTTCCTAGTTGTTCTTTTGTCTTGTATGTTATGTGCTTTTTAAAAATATTTATACCATATCCTGTTTTCTTGAAGTCAGTAGGTATAAATAATTCTTCCATTGTCAAAAGTTACAGGTATTTCTTCCGTTGTTAAAACAAAAACAAATAATCTTGTATATCTTTTCCAGTTTTGGTGTTTTAGTTCCATTTTCAGCTGACACAGAGAATTTTTAATCCAGAGCAGCTTTCCCCAGATGCAGGGTGTGTCTCTTTAGACTCAGACTGTACAGTCCTGTTGCTGCTTTCTTAAATTGAATCAGCCATGCTAAATTGAGCCAAACTATTTGTCTTTACAGCTCATCGTTCTACATTTAGAATGAAGCGTATTTGTAAAGCTGGAATAAAAACAATTTATGCAGTGAGCTCGTGGCTGGAGGGTGTTGATACATGGTTACAGAACTCTGTTTAGTGCTGGAGATTTGAGAGGAATTGAATTCTTCAGTAACTTCTCAGGTGTTTTTGTAAAACCTCCATGGTGTCAGTCTTTCAAAATTTTTTTAGTATTTCTTTTTTTCCTCTGGAGTTTGGAAGACAAATATCTTGTGCGTACATGTTCAATTTTTCTAACTGTAACTTCATCATAAAGGACAGTTATTATATACTTGTTGAATTCTGTCTGTAGAGGATAACTTGCTATTCTTTTTTCTTCCCGGTGGGAATGGATCTTCTGCTTGTTAGATTCAGAGGTGAGAGCAGGGGTTGGTGTAAATTACATTTATGTGGTTTAGTGTAATGGGGAAGGGATTTCTGTATGGATCACAATTTGGGTATTCTAGGCTGGTAGGTTGAGCTGGCTGAATAAGTATTTTTTCGGAAAAGGTGTAAATTACATTTATGTGGTTTAGTGTAATGGGAAAGGGATTTCTGTATGGATCACAATTTGGGTGTTCTAGGCTGGTAGTTGAGCTGGCTGAATAAGTATTTCTTCGGAAAAAGAAAACTACTTTGGTTATAAATATTTGTCAGAAATGTAAGCCTATTTTAAAAGGGGGAATATGATGGGTGTATGTGACATGAAAATACTGCACTAGCAGACAGCAGGGGAGCAGGAAATTGATTTTTCAAATAAATATGTTTCTCTCCCTTCCCTTCCAACATTCCATTTTCACATTTGGACTTACATTTTTTTCCCATTCCTGAGTTTGTGCTTCATTTTTTCTGGTTGTAAACCACATTTTTATGCTTTCAGCTGTGTCATTTTGAAATGCTTTTACCATGAGGTCTTACAAACCAGTGGTAGTCATGCCACTTCAGTAACATAATGAGTATGCACCTCTGTTAGAAAGGTCTTTGTGTTTTTCAATAAACTTTATCTAGTCAATGTCCCAAGACTTCCTCAACGGGGGTAAAAAAAAAAAAGTTCTATGAGAAAAGACTGCTTTTTTTGTTACAAGCAATTCACGTTTTGAATCATTGGATCATTGAGCCTCTTGCATACTTGTTTGGGCTCCTTGCAATTAAGCTGATTATAATTTAATTCTTCTGGTGCTGCCGCTGGAATTACGCTGTCCACTGCTTTTTAGTCTAAAGGTGAGCACAGCCTTTTTGCGCCCATCAGGCAGCAGTGACACCCAGAGACATTTGCGCATCATCTCAGAAAGCTGCAGTGGCTGAGAATGCAAGTGAACCGATTCTGTTGAAACCGACACATGATAATGCTGTAGGTGACCCTACCAAAAAGAAAATGTCATGTTGACTTCCAGTTAACGTTTATTCTGAGATACCTCGCATGACATTTTTGCTTTTCCCAATTCCCTTGTGTTCCTGCTTGTAATTCTAAGCCACTAGAAGTATTTTTAAAGGACTGAGTATAAGTCCAATCCAGTCCTATCCAAATATTCAGTACTCTGCTGTGTATAGTGACGTATTTTAAGCAGAAGCAGTGCAATGAGACAACCTGATAGCAGTCTGAGTTGTCAGAGGAGCACCAATAAGTCATTTTTCATTCTAAATGAAGGGAAGCCAGTGAAGTTACCAGCAGAACATAGGCAGTGTTTGTCTAGGAAAGGGTGTTGTATTTAGAAATAAATAGGGATTGTATTTAGAAATAAATACAGTTTAGCACATTTTAAACATGTTAATTAAAACATCTAGAGTTAACAAGATAACTCTAAAGCGCTCCTAAAGCAAATTTTCTAAATATCTTTCACTTCTCATTGTGGGGAAAAATAAGAAAAAAAGGAATCAGGAAACTAATAAGCCTGTACTTTTAGGAAAACAGCAGATTGCCATTAGCGTGGTTTCAAAAATACTTCCCTCACCTTATAATGTGGTTATTTGGGATTGGTAAGTCCTAGCAGGTCTTTATTCCTTGTTGAACACTTTTTTCAGTATTTTTTTTCCTTCTATATTTTATGCTTAACCAGTGCAGACTGTTTGTAGGGAGAAGGAGGACTTCCAGTATTCACTGCTGGAATATAGCAAGCATCTATGTGTATCTTTCTTGTATTTATCTGGCTTCCAGTTATAAGTGTAGTTCAGTATCTTTTACACTAAGCTAAAGTCTGTCTTGGTGTGTGCCTGGCAGGTGGAAGCCACCCAGGTCAGGCACACAGTCTGCGAACAAATCGAGAGCCTGAGCTCCAAGATGCAGGCACTGTCGCTCCATTTCCAGTGGTTTATCTCATCACTGGTGCTCATGTTTCCAATTACTCCTGCATATTCTTGCTGGGGGGAACTGGATATACATGAACATGTGGGAGAGCACCTATAGAAATGAATACCTGTCGTAAAGTCCTTTATTTCCCTCCCCAGTGGCCATTTACAAAAGATTTTAAGGTGCATCTCTAAGGGTACTCCTGCCATCTTTTGCACACAGATCTGACCCTTCCTTTGTAGCATTGCTCTGCAAACAACAAGAGGATGATGCTGCATGCAGTTACACCCTGTGTGTTTCCCAGGGCCTGACCTAAGACCTGTTGTTCTTCTCTCCTCTCTTACTCTCGGCTCAGATGTTAGACTGGATGGATGGTTACGGGGTGAGGGGGAGGCTTTGAATCAAAACAGAAAGATTAACTTTAGGCTTCGATAAACCACAGCATTTACAGAATAGAAAGAAAGATTTTAGGCTCTGCTAAACCACAGCATTTAACTCTAACCTGCTGAAAACAGCCCTGCAAGAGCACTGGGGGCAGGAGTAGAGCAATGATGGGTACGCAGAGCTTGTGGAATTGGCGCTTGGTCTGGGGGTCTTCGGGTATGAACGTGTGCTTCCCAGAACATCCCTGCCTGCTTCCAGCAGTGCTGCTGGGTAAGTGTTCTGAGAGCTGTCGCACAGCTTTTCCTGGAGGGGTGGGTTTGGGGTTGTTGCTGGATTCCTGAAATCCGTGGAAATTTTAATGAGTCATCTTATTAGTAGAATGGGAATAAATCCCATGCTATCAAAACTTCTCTTAAATTTGTGTTTTGAATCCATTTATTACTGCCTCTTTGGTTAACTCGAAGCAGCAGTTTCAAGCACTGCTGAAAATATCTCGATATCTGGTCGATGAGAGCAGCTTGTCACCACTATGGTAAGATAACAATAAAAGGATTTTGGTGACGGCTGGAGTCCCTTGGCTGCGTAACACAGTGACACAAATGCTGGATGCTGCGTGTGGCGCGGCAGCGAGGAACTCGCTGTAAGGGCACCGGCTGCTCTTCTGGGTGAGCTGCCATGACAACTGCGCTGCTGGTGATGCCCGTGTGGGTGTTCTTGCAGAGGGTCATTGGTATTCTGAGTGTTTCTCGGAATACTGCAGGCAGGAGAAACCCCTGCCTGCAGATCTGCCAGGGCTTACTATTGTCACACTGGGTAAAAAATGCAAATGGTGTTGACTGGTGTCTGTCTGGGAAGCAAAAAAAGACAGTTTCCCTAAAAGCAGTTTATTGTTTTAATGACATGGTTTTACCAAATGGTTCTGCTTTCTTAGCTTCTACATAGCTTCCATTCCCAGACCTCATTTGGGTATGCAGTGTTAAAAACAGTAGGGAAACAATTATGCAGTAAAATTGTAATCCATTTATACATTTGAAAAAGAGCTTGCTACCTGCAAACCCTTTTTTATTTTTTCCTTACAGGAGAGTTAGGAGTTTGGTGGGATTTCTTGCTGTGGCATTTTTGGTTTGAATTTTTTAAGGCAGACACTTGCTCCTTCATAAGCTGACTTTTATTGACTTTTGATGAGTAAGGTTATTTCAAGGTCTTTGGTTTTGTTTTTTTAAAGAATGTCTAAAGCATTTTTCTTTTGATATCCATCTTGAAATACATTGCAACATCATTACTGAGACAATTAAGAACAGACACAGCTGCAAAGGGCATGGAACAGACTATTTTTTTCTTGAATAGAGAATACCTTTTAATAAAAGGGGAATTAATTTTTAACAGGACATGAAAACATGGAAATTAATGGAAATAAAAGAATAAATCTGTAGATGCAATAATTTTAACTTGACAGATTTTCCCATAAGCAATTAATGTAAAACTGCAAGAAGCTTTGATATTTGAGTAGTGTTTATAGCTGGTTTTGTCAAAGTCATCATCATGCATGGATTATAGGCAAAAGTACAGGTGTTAAATGTAAGGGAAGGTGCTTTTGAAGCGAGGGGCAGTCATATTTTACATTCTTGTCCCTTGCGTCTCCTGCGCTACTGGCAGAGCTGAAGTACTTGGGAACTGGAGTGTTTCTGTCGTTAGAAAAGAACATTACGGTATCACTGTGAAAAGAAAAACACAATCTTAATAATTGTTGCTGACTAACTAAAGATTGTATATTTTGCTGTCAAGGTGACATGCTTGCAGGACTTCTTTGGAGATGATGATGTCTTCATTGCGTGTGGACCTGAGAAATACCGGTACGCTCAGGATGACTTCGTGTTGGATCACAGTGGTAAGACTCTACATCCTAAACCTACTGAAATAGTCAACTTCATTGAGATGTCTCCCCGCTCCCCTGCCCCATTCAATCCTCAAGAGCTGTGTAACCTGGTTTCACATATACATTGGAATGTATTTTCCTATGGATTAGAAAGTTTCTCCTAACCATCATCAGGATTCTGTAAGTCTGTTAAAATGCACTAACAAATCTGATCTATTTTCTGGGAAAACAGACCCTGTCTCTAGAGTGACATGGAAAACAGCACTGAATTTTAAAAAGTTCAGTCATGGATCTAATGGATCTAAAATCTGTTTAAAATCTCCTGCTCTCCTCTGCCAGGGAGTTTCAGAATTGGCTTGGAATATTAAATTATATATATATCTGTTGGTTTTTCTCAGTGTTTTTTCTGTCTATAATTGTTCATCTGTAGAATCACCCTGATTTTCTTTTATGAAAAAAATGAATTTGTGGTAAAGAAAACTTCCTGTGCAAGAATTTTCAGATTATTTGAGGAGAGCTTCAGGTTGTGAGTAAGGTGGGGGGTGGGGGTGCCTTGCTCCCAGGTAACTGAAAGCAAAAGCATCTGCTGTTTTTCCTACTTTTACGAATACCGTAATTTCATTACAAATTCTTCAGTTAGATCAAGAGGTGTAGCTGTGTATCTGACCGCAATGGTCCATGCATTTGGATGGATGGAAGATTCAGCTGGCTCCCATTCTATTGCTGTTGCTGGCATGCTGCTTTTCTGGAATTGCCTGATCATGTTGCTTCAGCTAGTGTGGAGGTGACAAGAGGGGTCTTTTTTTAAACATAGTTTTAGACTAGCTAAGATGTAATTTTATTCTTACACAGGCATGGAAGAGCATGGGTGTATTAACTCACACTGCAAATCCCAGTTTGGGCAAAACCATAATTTCCCTTGCAGATTTTAAGGTCGTAGGTTTGCTTTTGCCATTACACCCTGCACTAACTGTTTGGGCTCATTTCCTTTCTGAGAACCCAGCGATGGAGGGGTTTTTTCTCCTCTGGTCTCTTCACTTTTGGTGGTCACTGCTTCCTCTAATAACTCTGGAAGTCTTAATGGAGAAAAACAGGTTAGGTGCAGAGTGGAACATGTCTTGACTGGCAGGGCATGCAGCTCTACTTATTTTTGATGGTGACGTGGCATCATAATAGTGACATTGACATCCTAGTGATGAATAACAGGGACAGAATTTGGAGGGAAATTTATATGATTCAATTGGGAGTGATTTGCAATGGATGCTAACTGTAGGAATTAAAATCTTTCCAAAATGTCAGTGCATGTATGACTATTGATTCCTTGCCCATTTAGGTTGTCCTCTATTTAATGACATATAGCTGATGGTAAATGGCAGTAACCTATTGTCTCAGCCTTTTGGAAGCAATAGACATTTTTCACCTCTTTAAAAATTGGTCACAACATCAATTTCTTGCAAAAGAAGGTAAATTGAGGTTGCTGTGCAGGTGTTCTATATGAAGCTGCCACTACAGCATGCAGGATTTGCTGAATTATCAGAACCTTGGCATCAGCTGTCTTCTTTACGTTCAGCTGTGTGTAGGTACAAACCTGAATTATAGTAATAATCCAAGACATGAAGAAATATTACATGCAGAATGTTAAATACAGCATTTGACTGATGCAAAGATGTTTGTACGGTGCGTGGGTTAAAGTTCTCGGATGCTCTTATAAATTTGTTTCAGTCAGTTGGGCAAGTATGCATAGAAAATACTGGTGTTCATTTCTGGATAATAAACAGCAACAGTGGTGTTTGGAGGAAGCCTGGATGTTGAACTGTTGTTGAAACACTCTGCTTGCTTTGTAGAATGCCGCGTTATGAAGTCCTCTTATTCCCGATCATCTGGCATGAGGCATTCTGGGTCCAAAAGTCCAGGACCTTCACGTCGAAGCAAATCACCTGCCTCAGGTACTACCTCTAGGAAAGAGCTGAACGTGTAAAATACATGAAACTTAGGATTTGTTTAGTGGGGTGAACAAATGGTTGTCTCTGTCTGAAAGACAAGTGCTATGCTTTATTTCCTGGGGAAAAAAACTTTTTTTTTTCAGCTTGTCTCATAGATTTAATGCTAATTTATAATAAAATTTACAATTATTTTTGAATCCTGAGAAGAAATGTGGTTTCTATTTTTTAATTAGCAGGCACAAAATGTTTCCGTTTATGAACATTGGAATCATTTGTGCTAATTGTACACTTGGGATGTATTTTCAGCATGGCATTTGATTTTCTTGAAGACTATTAACTACAGGATTGTTATGTGGTTAAATTCATGTTCATTGAACTAGAGTACACTCTTAAGTGGTTTGAATTTGAAAGGCTTCTCCTATATAAGCCAAATATTGTCAGAAATACAGGGTTTTGCTGTTCCAAGTAATTTTAGGAGCTGTTCTGGAATGTTATTGCCCATTAACAGAGAATATTTTTTTTCTTTTTGTGCTTCTTGTAATTCCAAAGAAGGGTTCACATTGTGTTTTTACCAGCAGTTTGGCTGAACACCATATGTTCCAACCAACTTTTATGCAAGTAAATATAAGGCAGAAACTTGGGGATTTTTTTTTTTTTTAACCTCTGCATTTAATTTCTAAACACAATAAAGCCTAACTGATTTTTTTCCCTCAGACATGGAGAAGTAGCCCTGAAATCAAACCATTGAATATGTAAATATACAATGCTCTGTTTTGAATGTAGCTATGCACGTAAGCTCCTGTGTGTGTATTCAAAACTGCAATGCGTTCCATATTCTCATTTCCACAGCAATATTTGTTTTGCTTAATTGGTGTTGGTTAAAGTAATTTTATGTCTTTGAGGTCTTTCAAAGTGGAAAGGGCAAGTTTCACAACAGATCTACATTTCATGCAAATCCTGTTAACTTCAGTGAGATCCCATGGGTTATCTATCAACAGTGAACTTTATGCAAAGAATTTAGAAATCAGTGCTGTCATTTTCTTACTTTTTCTACTTGTACACCCCTCTGGTTGGGTTAATTTGAAAAAAATTATTCGAAGTGTCTGGTATTTATCCTTCTACTTGCCATTTTTTCTCATATGGTCTTTACTTACCTTTATTTCTCCTTCTTCCTTTCATGCGTGTTCAGAGCTGTTTAATAACTTCTTTCCTTAATGTCTTTTTCCTTTGTGTCAAATATATGAGTACAGTAAAGAGGGGTGGCCACTACTCCAGTGCTCATTCTTCAGCAAAATCCCCAGGTGAGCCATTACTGTTATGGCTGTGTATCACTAGCGCGTCTCCTCCCTCTCCATTTACCCCTTTCACTGTATTTGTGAATATTTTCAGGCTTGAAACACACATTTTTGCATTCAGTGAACGGAGGCATAATGGGTGTTGTTTTTTTGTTGAAGTAGACCATTTGTGTGAGATAATATAAATGATGCTTTTTGGACATCTGCTAATGGTGTGAAAGCTAAATTTGTAAAGGTATAATTTGACTACAAGTAGAGGGGTGTTCTGAGGAGCAATACATTTGTACGTGTATTTTAAAGCAAATTATAATAGAAAATTTCAACCGAAGTGCAAAAAGGCAGGGCTAAGAGTTGCTGAAAAAAGCAGTGAAAGAACGTGTCGTAGTTTTTCATTTTATTTGCAGTTTCTTACCTTCCTTTGTTTTCATGTGTTATTTCAGCCTAAGTTCTAAAAAACCTCCAGTTCAAAGTGAAGGTATCTCTAAAACACTAAATATCTTATAAGCAGCGTGCATTTTGATTACCAAATAAGTTAAGACTTTGGACCATACTAGAAGTTAACAATTTAAAAGGTTTTTCACTTTTCAACTTTCCAATATGCTACAGAATTAGGCTACAGAATTGTAGCCTAATATGTGCTATTTAAAGGACAGATTTTTCTGTGTATGTTCAGGCTGCTATACATGTTGAAAGACACCTCAAAAGAACTTTAGACTTAGAAAACAGATAAGAAAGGTAAGTTTTGCATATACATGAAATAATCAGCAAATCAATACCAGTGAACAAGTTTGTACCAAAAATGAATACAGATTGCTTGTGTGATTTTTGAGTTTAAAAAAAAAAAAAGTAGCACTGTCTCAAATAGCAGTTAGCTGACTCCATACAGATGCAAAATTTTTGTATCTACACAGGGCCAGTTCCAGCTTCTACTGGAACCAGTTTCACAGGCACAGTTTAGAGGTTCTGTTGATGCTTAAAAGGATGGTAGTGAGTTAGAGACCAATATACAGTAAACCCCTAATGGTCATGTTCAAAGAATGACCTTTCTGTGAGCTGCATAAAAAAATAATTTGTGAATAAACAAAACTTTTCTGCTCCTGTAGTAATAGTTGGTCATTTGGAAGCAAATTCTTCTACTGAAATATCTCATTTTTGGTCATTAAATCTACAGATCACTATTTTTTCTAATGGCTAGAGCAAAACTGTGTATGGAAGAGGCAGAAAACAGTAAGATAGCATTCACTAGCCCTTTTCATCGTCATGCTTGCGAATCCTTTATAAAACAAGGAAGCACTGATATGTCAGGTTTCAAGAAGGTTATCTAAACCAAAGCAATGAAAAGTAGTCTGCAGGAGGGACGTGTGCACCTAAGTTCTTTTAGCTTCTTAAAAAAACACGTAAGTAATTCACCCATTGTACTTACAGGCAGCCCTTGTTAAAGTCAAGTCAAAAATACCCTAAACACATGGAATACTTTTAGTAGGAAAGACTAAGCTCTTAGCCCTGCAACGGGTCTGGGAGTGTAAATGCAAGTTATCAGACTTCAAGACAGTCTTACTCTGTAGCTAAATGCTAATCAGTTATATCTTCACATCACACATCAGAGAGAGATTTTTGTGAAAAACAGGGATTTGTGGCATTTGCAGTGCAGTCAGTCTGGTCTGCTGGCAGATGGACTGCCCAGGTTGTGAAAATAATATTTAGAAGGCATCTTTAGCACTCAGAGAAAGTGAGGATACTAGGTTAATAGACACTTGTAAAATAAATCAGATAGTGCTGGGTAGGGAGTGTTGTATAACCCATGACAGACCTCTGGATGTGGAAAGGATATGTGCAGATATAACTTAATTACTTGGAAGCTAAGTTTCTATTTGCCAGGGTCGCTTTTTTCGTTCTGAAAAAATGATTCTTCACCATGAATCGGCTATGAAACCTTTTTAGCTCTTAAATTTCTGCCTGGTATATTCCTCTTCCAGAAAAAAAATGAAGTTGAGCTAGAGAGGAAGTAATGTCACATCATAAAATGTCGCATCATATTTGTGTATGGTGAACAGTATGATACTCTGTCTGCAAAATGAAATTCATCAGTTTGGTTTTTTTTTTCAGAAAAATACAAGCACTGACCTAAGTTATGCTCAAGTCACAAGAGACAGAGCAGATGTTGTATCAGGCCTCTCTGGAATACTAGACTTCAAATGAATGAACTCCTGAAGTCAAGAGGGATGATATTGTATGCTTTCACAGACACTTGAACTTCTTGGAGGTTCAGAAATAACCTACTACCTTTCAACTGTTGGGGTTTTTTCCCTAAATAGCTTTTTTTCTGAACTATTGCTGAAGTTCTTTATCATCCAAACAGCTCATATTCCTTTTTTGTTTGTTTTTTCCCTTGGAAAAACAAACAAAACAAGTTGTTTTCTGTGAAACATTCTACCTAGAAAGTAAGGTATTGATCCAAAAAGGAGAGATGGAGTGTCAAATGACTTTATGAACACTTTCTCTCTCCATATCTTATTGTGTGATATCACAATAAATGATATAATTTAAAGAGACCATGGCTATTATTTGCCCAAAGTTCTTGCACTGGCAAAGGACAGAATAGGCCTTTCTCATCTCTAGAATGGCAGTGCAATATTTGTGTGTCTTTTTGATCCCAAATCCAGCCACATGAGTATTGGGGGTGCATTTGGGTGGCATGCAAGTGGACAATTTATTCCTAAACGCTGAGGAGCCTGTTTCGGTCTTTGTGTGCAGACTTGAGTGATAACTTGTCAGATATTTATGTTATGATTAAAAACAAGTTAGGGGTTTTGACTTTTATTCATCTTTTATTTCATTTATTTGCTTTTATTGCTTTGGCCAGTTAATGGAACCCCAAGCAGTCAGTTATCCACCCCAAAATCTACCAAGTCCTCCAGTTCTTCACCAACAAGCCCAGGCAGCTTTCGTGGACTGAAGGTAGGTGCCAGAACCATCAAAAACTCTAAATTCCATTATTCACTGAATGATGTATTACAGTCATGGTGAAGAAGGAAAAAAAGAAAAAAAGTTATAATTCTATAGGGCAGACTTTCTAGTATGATTTCTGAGTTGAAGTGGAGAAGAGATCTGAAGATTTCTGTATTTTGTCTTTGGTTGGCAGGATGGAACTCTCAGCTTACGAAAGGGGGAGGGTGATGGTGGCTTGAATATCCCAATTTGCCCTTCAAATTTTCCATTCTTTTGTGGACTGCAGAAACCCCCCAACTAATTTATATTCCCTCAGCTTATATAAATCTAGCATCCTCTTTTGGCAACCTTACTGTCTTGAAGCATTGCCCAGAATTTTGTCTGAAGCACCCTCCTTCATCAGTGGCACACAATTTCACCACTGCCTGCACTACCCTGCCTGAAAGCACGAGAGGGGTTCCTTCGGGAGCGCAGTGATGTCTGGCAGATTTTTCTCTGTGTTGCACCAAGAGAATTCTCTTCTTCTCCCACTTGAAAATTGGGAGCATTTACAGTTCAGAGAGGCTGCTGTGTGCCTTTTGCTCAGTACAATAAAAGGAACAGTCTGGAGCACTGTTGAGCATCTTAGTGCTGCATTTGTGCAGCTGTCCTTTCAAGGAGAATTTTCTGACGTTGTCAATTGCAGGCTTCCTGGAAGCACACTGGATTGTTCACACTGATTATTCTGCTTAAGTAATAGCTCCCACGGGTGAGCACAACAGTTGTGAAGGGGCTGCATAATTCTGTGGAAAACTGTTTTCTCAATTAAGAGACTGGCTAAAGGACGTGATTGGAATCATATTTAGATTTGGGTTTTGAGATGCTAATTGTTACCAAGTCTTTGTCTGTTTTGCAAGGAGTACAGCACTGATTTCAGCCAGGTTTCTGTGATAATTCTGAGAAAAGGTTTTGATTTATTTGTGTAGTTCTAATATATTTTTAGTTGTTTGGTTCATGGAGACAATTTAGTGTTGGTCTCTGCCTTTCTGTTGTTGAGCTGTACCATCCTGTATCTTCTCTTTCTCCAGCATAGATTAGTTTTTCCCCTATAAAGTGTTTTCAAGAGCAGTAGTAGTTCTGACATTGAAAATAAGGACTGTGTGTCTTAAACTTTGTCTGGACAGCTCTGCTGTAGAACCAACAGTAGATGACACCAAAATCATTGGACCTGAGGCTCTCAGCTGGTCAGCGCTGTATTTAACAAATGCTCTTTTGCCTTTCTGTAATGAAATTACAAGTTTAGAAACTAGAGAATTTGGTTAATTTTTTTCCCACGCTGTCCTGTCTGCTTTTATCTGATTAAAGCTCCATTAAGATGGAGATAATTCTGATATTAACGAGCAATTTTCAGTAAAGTGGACATGTCCTCTTTCCCCTTCACTGTCAATTTCACTGAAGTAGGCTGTTGTGCTTTTTCAGTTTGGAATTTAATTAATGCTGGATAGTAATGGGTTTTTGTGTCAAATAATTCACCCCTATATGACCAAAGAAAATGTCAAAACCAAATGAATCATCTCTATTATTTTTGTAGGATTGATCTTGGCTGGTCTGAGGAGGAAAGCAGAAGGAAAGCAGGGACCAATTTTATTACTTGAGATTACTGCTTTTCCCTCTTGTTAAATAATTCCTTCTTGCTGAGACTGCATTGCTGGGCAGACAAGTACTCTGGCTTCCGGCACTTGTATAAAGAAGGGGCCATAACTGCAGCTGAATGAAAATTGAGATATAAATACCATGGCAGACAGTGACA